TTATCTACGGTTAATATGTTCACTGGCCATCCTAGATAAGGTGATAATAGGTTAGTAAATGACGCGTTATGCCTTCCCATCTGCCTAACAGGAGAGAGATAAACGGCTGCGAATATCGGAACTCTATGGTGGCCCATCGTTGTCACGCGTAAAATTGAAAATAAAAATAAAAAACCGATAATAAAAAAATTTTTTGTAAAAAAACATAAAAATAATTAAAAAAAAAATTAAAATTTAAAATAAATAAATAAATAAAAACGAAAAAAAAAAGAAAAAAATTAAAAAAAAAAATTGAATAAAAAGAAAATAAAAAGGTTGACAACGATGGTCCGCCTCGTGGCCCATCGTTGTCACGCGTTTTTATTTTCAGAAAATTTGCTTCTGCTTGGGACCAACGTTGTCAGGCATAATCCTACGCGCACAAATGTGTTCCCTGGGTTTCAAACTCACTACTGATTTTCTTGAGCAATATTCAATATGAAAATGTTCTATAAATTCTCCATGCTACAAGTTCAACAAGAAGTAATATATTTATAATAATGATAAGAGAATATAGAATTCAATACGAAAATTCGGAAAATTTGTTTTTACGTGTATAAGGTAATTTAATTGGAGAATGCTGCTTAACTACTCAGTTGTCTGGACACTCGCGATGCCGGTACCGTACCGTCTTACCAAATACCGGTAGTCGGTTATAGTCGCTTTGCGTCTGATCGTACCGGTAGCCATACAATCACTCATCATCTCCCATTCTTTCACAAGTGATTGCATGGGTACCGGTACGGTCAGACGATACCGTACCGGCATCGCACGAGTGTCTGAGCAGTTAAGCAGCATTTTCCAATTAAATTACCTTCTACACGTAAAAACAAATTTTCGTATCCAATTCTATATTCTCTTATCCTTATTATAAATATATTGCTTGTGGTTGAACTTGTAGCATGGAGAATTTGTAGAACATTTTCATGTTGAATTTATTGGATATTGCTCATGAAAATCAGTAGTGAGTTAGAAACCCAGGAAACACATTTGTGCGTGTAGGATTAAGTCTGACAACGTTGGTCCCAAGCAGCATCGAATTTTCCAAAAATAAAAACGCGCGACAACGATGGGCCACGAGGCGGACCATCGTTGTCAACCTTTTTATTTTCTTTTTATCCAATTTTTTTTTTCAAATTTTTTTTTTTTTTTTTTAATTTTAATTTTTTTAATTTTTTTTTTGTTTTATTTTTCAATTTTTTTTTTAATTTAAATTTTTTTTTATTTCTTTTTTTTCAAATATTTTTATGTTTTTTCACAACTATTTTTTAATTTTCGCTTTTTCATTTTATTTTTTCATTTTTTTTTTAAATTTTACACGTGACAACGATGGGCTACCATAGAACTCTAACTTCTTTTACTTAAACTTTAATTTTTTACAATCGACGGAATTGACTGCTCTGAAAAGAGCTCGTTTCAATCTCGAAAGCACTCGACCAATAATTACGACTTTACGTAATTCGTAACTTCGCTTCCGTAACTCGAAATAATTCCGTAAATTACGTGCAAGCCTATTGTCCGGGCTGTATGCCAGCCATTTGAATTTCTCCAGCCACGCTCGCTGAAAAGACAGATAAAAAATCTTTCCTCTGACCGTTCGGACATGCTTTGGAGAGACGAAATCTTTGCTTGGGACCCAAAGGTTGGTCAAATAGTCGTACTTCATTTCATCATCGACATTCGATCCACGCATGAAATCACCGATATCCAATTGAAATTTTTATCTTTTTCAACTTTGGTTCGCATTCGTTTGTTGAAGTGCGATTCACTTCTTTGGACATCGACTCGTCTGTGAATGTTGAAAGAGCGTCTTTCAGTACGGAAGAAGGTCATGGTTTGGTCATCGCTTCCCCCTGGTCTTGTAAAATATGAATAATAATATATAATAAGTTTATTTCGAATCCATAATCAGCAATGGACGATAAAAAAATAGATAAAAACAAAAGTAACTGATTATAGAATCGGGAAAGCGAACAAAACCTAGAGTATAAGGTTTGAAACGTATAGATTTTAGATGGAAAGGTATTGATAAAAGAAGTAGTACGTGTTCGCCCACCCAAAAGTAAAAAAAAAACTAATGAAGGCACGCACGCACACACACACAATCATCGAGACATGATACTGTCGGAAGCGAAAAAAGCGAGACTTAAAAGTAAAAAGGAAGGAAAATATACGAACAAGTAAAAAAAAAATGAATGAATAAATGAAGCTATCGATTTGTGTTTTTTACTCATTTTCAGAAGACACCGCTTCGCGCTATGCTGCTTCTAACGTCAATCTGTCTTACTGATGCAGTTAGCCGTAATGGTACTCGCGAAACACCGCTTGTGGTCTAACGTAGAAGAGTCGTGATTTATTCAGTCCGCATTATCCTTTGTAGCACTTTTTCCTGTCGAATCCTGAAATATTCAGTCTGAATTTCTAAAAACATTCTTCTGTGTCATACCTTGCAACTTTTCGTGGCTTGGAACGCTTTTTAAAGCATCAATTTCCTTGAAAACTCGCGTTTTCCGGCCGCCGTCCAGATCACCTGGTAATTAGAAATTTCAGAACCCCCCTTAAAAAATTCCTGGCTACGCCCCTGATTTGTGCGAATATACGTTTACCAATCATAGCGGGTGCGCCATCCGTGGAAATGCCATGAAGATATTTTAGGTTAAATCCGGAACGAATACAAGCATTCTTAACTGCAATAAATATGTCTTCTCCTCGAGTGTACATATCAAATTGATCGGAAAGACAGCGAACGAATATTAGGAGTTGTGCCGAGTCACCAATATCTGTTGACTGCCAGCGCAAAAAACTTCCTTAGGCTAACTCGTGACTAGAGATGTAACGATATCACTTTTGTTGCCGATACCGATCCGACACCAGCTTAAAACGCCGATACCGATACTACAAAAAGGCCCCTATTACCGATACCGATACTATGTAATTATTATTTAATTAGGTGTGCTGTATAGGGCAGACGGGTTAAAACAATGGTCTTTGAGCGTTGTTCATAGTACACATTATTTCAGATCGCAAAAAAGATATATCACATAATATGAAATTAATGTTTAGTGTTTGCTTTAACTGATTAACATACATTGTACAGTAACGCTAGTAATCTCGGTGTTCAACTAGAAAACTCATAAGCCGGGATGTCCAATTTGAATTTATTGTTAATATCGCGATCTTCGAATATCGTTATTCGTGTTTAAAAGAATATCGAATATCACCCACACATTCTAGCGCCGCCGTCCGACGTTCAAATTAAAAGCATTTTACAAATATTTTAATTCGTGACTAACCTTAATCGTCGACGCAATAAGTCAAAGCCAACATGAAAAAATATCAATCAGCACCGACAAAAAGAAGGCCTACCTATAACCTTCGATGATGTTTTTTTACTTTACTATTTTATAATATTTTACAATAGCTATCATATATTTTGAGACAGTCTAGGGCTAGGCGGTCATGTCAATATATCTATAAAGTAATTGTGTAGTTGAACGAAATTAAAATTAATACCTGCGTAGAGGGATAATTGTGTCGGAATTTAGTTTATCGATGTCGACGGACGGACGGAAAATGTCAATATAAAAATTTGACAGCGAAAATAGCCAAATTGGTTGAGCTAGTTTGGCTGATAAATAGCTAAAAACACGTGAATCCTATTTTCTTGCGGGGGTGGGGACATGTATGAGTCATAGCTCACGATCTCTCCAGACAAAAAATAAATTAAAAAGTAGTATTCCAACTTATCTTTTAAAACATTCTGGACCATATCAAAAAGGTAAATATATTGGAAATATCGGCCTTAATCTAACCGATACCGAAAAAATGGCCGATATTGACGATACCGATACATCGGTACATCTCTATTCGTGACATCGTGGAAACGCAGCATAGGCTAGGTTCTGTGCACGTTGCACATTGTATGGTCACAATGGATCACCATGACTCTCTATGACGTGCCAAACTATTCTAAATGAGACGAAACCTTTGCAGTAATGAACATCAATGCAAAATGTGAAACCCCGATTCGTATTCATAAACACGCCCAACGTACACGGCTCTTGAAACCCGGACCCGCTAGCTGTTACGGTCTGACAATTATAAATTTCAGATTCTTTGGAAATACCCGGCTTCTTCGAGAATGCCCGGCTACACCCTAGACTTTTACAACAAAAACTTCTGCTTCCCCTGTCGCCGACTATTTCCTCTCATGGCTATTTCCGCTCATGGTAAATGTATCTAAATTGACACTACGATGATCATTTTCTATTTATTACCTTGCACAAAATTATTAGCTTCTTCTTTATGATTGGGGTTCTAAATTCCATCGTTCAATATACCATATGGTTCCACGTGAGCTGACAGAATGGCACCTGGATTCGACAGGCTCGCAAATGTTAATAACCAACGCCCTATGGAAGCTGTGGAAATGCGGCTATCGTTTGTCACCCACTCTAGCTGGATTCGAGTTACCCCATACAAATTACACCCATGTTTCATCCTGTTTTCCAACAGTGTTTTGAGAGATGGACTTTGTGGAGGTTCGAACCCCGGCACCGAATTAGATACAAAGCTCAAACGATTATGTAGTAAAACCTGAAACTATTTCTTAGTAGACTATTACTAGACAACTCTACAACAGCTAGCCTCTTACACCATTTACTAACCTTCAGTCTTTTATACATAATTGAAGAAATGAATGTGGGGGAGTTGACTCTGATTACCGTTTCGCTCTCTTAGCGAATATTATTGTATATTTTTATTATCGCTGCAATGCTCGTTTTTTCTAGTTGACGAAGAATAAATCTCTCGCTTTTTTCCAGAGATAATTTCTGAAAACCACTGAAATATGACTTATTTTCAATTTAATTACCATTATTTCTAAAAGCACAACAGGCCTAAAGAGTATATATATATGCTTTTCCGCTAACATACGCTAAACTGGCATATCAGTCAAGCAATCTTATGAAGTGGTATATATTTTCAAATAAATAATTAGGCAATATTGAAATTGAGTATCATCATAGCTGTATATGGGATGAGCAAGCTATATTCTTGAAAGATATATATTTATATGGTGACTTCGGATACAAGGTGAACAGAAATCCAACACATTGCTAGGATTTTTTTCGCACCATTCCACCTCGATTGAAAGTTCATTTTTACATGGATAAATTCAATTGAACTACTATTAATCTTTTAAAGCTTTGAAAAAAGTTAAAACAAGTTTACTCGAAATACCAAATAATGCGGGAATTTGGTACCCATTTTTCTCTTTGAATCCAACTTTTTCATACAGACTTATTGCTGCATATTGAGTTGCCAAACACTCCAAGACAACAAATTCGTAGTTCATTTCAATAGCTTGATTCAATGCGTGATCAAGTAATCTATTTCCTACTCCATTGCGCCTCAATTTAGACGAAACTGCCAGCTTCTGCGAAATAAAAAAAAGATAGCTAAATGAGTCGTATGCTTCAAATGGATAGATCGAATAAATGCATTACATACGGATTTTTTCAGCGAAAATACAATAATTGACGTTTATTGAATTGACGATTTAAAAAAATTCTTACTGTAAGTACGATTGCCGTACTTGAATCCAAATCTGACAGCAGTTTATCACTCAATGTTAGTTTCCTGTATCCAATTGAGCCTATAATATACCATTGTCCCTGATATTCTATCTCAGCAACCCAGAATTTGATGAATGAATTAATAGTTTCCATAGGCTTACGTTTCATACCACGTGTCCTTGTATATGTGTCATGTGTGAAGGAAAAGAATCCTGCAAGTTATAATGTGTTTTCAAGATGACTTCTACTTGCAAACAAATCATTTTACAGAAAATCTTATATTTACTCACCAATAACATATAGGACTATTATCATTTGTATATACGCAAGCAGGAACATCAAAATACCATATCCAAGATAAGTTGATATCACTGTCGAAAAAGCGACTAGTATGCTCTGTCATATGTAGAGAATAAAACCAATTATGTAGTTATCAAAGATATACTTCAGTTTTATTAGTGGAATTTGCATAAATATGATCAGTTCAGCGACTTCCGTCTAAATAGGTTCATGTACAACTGGAGGCAACCAGTTCAATGAACAAATTCGTTGCGTAGAAATGAGCGACTTGGTAATGGTATACGTAATTCATTTTACCATGTCTGAGGTGGTTAGCATGTACTGACTCTTGGATCAGTTTAGGGATTGAACGTGAAATATCAAAGTTACGATTCATCAAGCAATCAAACATGGCCCAGCACAAAAGGCTTTCATAAAACCCGAATCTACCATATGATATGAATTCAAGGAATATCAAAAGCCAATAGTCCGTAAAATCGTATACATGACTCTGGTATTTTAATACCACAGGATAAGTATTGTGCATGGTTGATAAAGGAAAATGTAGGTTTAAGTATACACGGCGCCATAGAATTTGCAACTATGAAAATAACTGGCTTATGTCCTATTGTTCAAACATTGGGTAAAGGTAAATGTACATACTATTGTGCTATAGCCATAGGTCTAGGAGACAATTACCTGTAGTCTGTAATTCTTTAAAATAACCTCTTTCATGGTTACTGACTGAGTAATGACTTTGCATTGAGGCAACTACAATATTTCGAACGGTTGGCATATCATCAATTTTTATTTCTCGAATTCGCAATGTCTGCATTATGTCTTCGTGCCGTGAAACTTGGCCTGAATTTTTTGTAACATATGGGTGTCAAAGATTTAATTTTGAGACGATGTGGTTCTTTAACTTTTTAATATGTCAAGAGTGTGTGGCCAAAACACGAAATGTATGATTTGCCACATTTGGGACAAAAATAACTTCAGATATAATACTTCAGATAGCGTTTTTCATATTTTAATAAGCAAAACACTGCTTTAAAATGCGTAGCTGAATAATACGATATTTCTGAGAAAATGATAACAGGTCACAGTTTCCCGGAGATGATTAAAGTGTATATAGGCTAGTTGAATTTTGCTTCTATACCAACATGTAGATATTATTATAAAAATGAAACATACAAAGAAAACAGTAAATTAGATAAGTTATAAACGCCAGCTCTTTTAATTAAAAAAAGTTCCAATCAAAGCCTTGAATTGACCTCCCTGACAAACGACATGAAAAGGCTACACTTACTTCTTGATAATTCTTCTGATGACATTATTTTGTAAGTCCAATAATTATTATCCGAACGATGTTGTTTCCGACGTTTCGAGTCGATGTCAAGTAAACATTTAACTGGACCTAGTAGAAAGCTTTCTGGTCTAGAGGACAAAGATTAAATATTTGTTTAATAAACGTTGGTGGAACTCCAAACAATTGCGAGACTGTTATGATACTACTTTGCATAGCGGTATCGATACGAACTTAGTGCGAGCAGATTAGAGCTTAAAACCCTCCATCTGACTGAGCATATTTAAGACTAATCTTAACATGAGACATGTTAACATGAAACTAACCGAAGAATCAGGCAATCGCTATGACTCTTATGTGCTAACGAGTATCCAAGTCGCAAGACAGTCCGAGGCTATATCTACCAGACCGGTGGTGCGCAAAGTGTCATGAACTATTTTGATAACTTGGTCGAACTTTTGGACCCAATTCAATGAATAATACACTTAATAATGTACAAGTGTCTCAACTATACTTTGCAGGCACAATAGGCATTTTCATTTTGTGTCTATCGTATATATACAAAACTCATAGCTCCCCAACATCTCGTCTTGAACCACTGAGGCCCCAAGGACTCGTTGTTGAAAACCGCTGTCTATACATCGCACCCGCATTCTTTAAATTTGAGACTGTTTTTAAATCTTGTTGCTTCAAGCAAATGATTAGATGTGTCCGGCCAAACGACATAGTAAACTTCTTGCCAATGCTTTGTCTTTGGTGAAATGTTCCTTACGTTGTATAAAGAGAATATACCGATAAAGAGTAAGTCAACGTGGAAAAATTATGTTAGATCTTGGCAGTGGACGACAGACATTGACAAACTCAACCGAATAGATAAAAAAAAAAAAATCAGTAATATAAACGAAGAAAAGACTGGGAAGTAAATGAAAGTGTTCCCAGTTGCAAGGTATATACCAAAGAGTGGGTGGGGAATTGAAGAGTCACAAACAACAACAGCGTAGCAGACTTTTTTGAAGTGCTAATTGAATTCGCCGTCCGCCACTTCAGGTATACGCCAATGCACATGGAATTCGATACGTTGTGGGAGCAATAAAGGTTCGTATTAGCCTTGTTAAAATCAGGGGTATCACAGAAAATGTCGAGTGGTGAAGTTCCTGCAACAACCATCAATGTACATTATAGAAAACATATGCAATACTTAAAACAGATAGTCTAGCTTCAAGAGCCGATGAATCTACATTGTTGAGGTAAAAAACAACCAATTTCCACGCAAAATGAATATAAATAAATGAGCGTTATTGAAGTACGGGAAAACCAAGGATGCTCATGACATATCGGTTTCTAAATTAAAATTCAGCGTTTAACGTCAACAAATGCCCGAGGGGCCAACAAATAGTTACAAATACTAAAACAAGCTCGCTGTAAAGTATACTGTTGTTCAGAAAAAAAACTTGGACTTAAGATTATGTGGTTCAACAATTATAAACGAGGTAATAACTTACGACCATTTTTACAGGAACGGTTCAGACAAGAAAGTATATATCAATAAAAGTAGGTTGTGTTCGGAGTTAATAAGGTATTCGGTCGGCAATGATCCGGTATATGTGACAAAATAGTATTAGTATTTCAGTTACATAGATTTATAAAACTCATGAAACCCACGATAAAGTTATAAGAATGGATAGGAACCAGAATTCCAAATTTGTCCGATTCTTCGAACTCACGCGGAAACGATTTCAATCAATTGAAGCAATTCACAATTCCTGCAGTTGAGTAGAAATTGATTTTTTTCTGGGTATTGCAAATTGGACTTGAGTTTGACGTATGTCTCGACAGTATTTGCATGTAGGATTGTAGGCCATACATATTAAACAAATACCTATATAACCTCATATAGTCTCAATATTTAATTTCATCAGGCGATTTTTTACGTCTCATATGTTTGTTCGAAACAATAGTGCTTTATAGAGGAGGTCACTTTATCTATTTTACACTTAAAACCGAAAATCCCTTCTTGTTGCAAGATGAAGGGCATTTTAATAGCTTTGTAGAGTAACGCAGAACTATAGAACAATATTGGCTTATTGATAGCTTTTGTTACGATACAGACATTAAGATTTCGAGTCTTCAAAATGGTTATCTTGGTTATGATAGAATATAAATTTATCTCATTTTGAACTGAGACGTAACAAACGTTTATGGCGATGGCTTAGATTATTTTAGATGCTAAGCATTTAACAACTTACAATTTGTTTCTTCTGCGCCAAAATTAGGCTGCTGTCTGATTCTGTACAATATACATGATGACCTCTTTTCTATCAATGTAATACTATATTCTCCTCCGCTTGAAAGGCAACACAAGAAGTTCTATACACTATAATTTATGTCTTGCTGGAATTAGTGCTCTGAGGAAAGCTCGCCAAGCTCAGCGCTTGCAGATTTTTCAGTCTATCTGGGAAATCTGTTTGTTAGAATTACTCACTAAATAATACTGCTATTTGAAGATCGCTACTCATCAATTTTGACGCTATTCAATCTTATGTAATTATAGCTGCGTGATATTATATTACACGTTGTTTCATTGAAACGCTTTTACTTTTATAAAATATATATAACCTTTTGTCAGAAGATTGTTCTGCATGACACATAGTTTTAGTCTACTGATAGAAATAAACAATAACAGAATGTCTGAATATTCTCGCCATTTTTTAAATCAGAACTTGATTTTATATTTGTAAAAAATCTGTATAGTAGTTGATTAATTTCCAAAAATAAAGATCTAGTGCATAAAATGTAATGGTAACAAAATAAGTGTGCATTCAGTCAGTTTTGTAATTGCAGAATTATCATTGAGTGAAATTAATTATAATGTCGACCGTGAAATATCTGTGCTGTTTCGCTATATTGGCGTTACGCATCGAGTTATCATATGGGGATTGCAACGTAATGGCAGAGTGTGAAAATGGATTGCAATGGAAAAGATGGACGAATAGTTACGAACCAGGGAAGCCTGGAAAACGGGTGACTTTTTATAATGTTGATGTTAATCGTTTTGTTAGTTTTTCAATTTAATCCATAAATAAGAAGATGCAAACGAATTTGGTATTGAAATACCCCACTTCGTAATATTTAAGTTCGCAATCGGCACGGCATATGAGGTAGTTGTTTATAGAATAGATGATGCTGTAATTCACAGATATTTAAAAGAAAATTAACGGTAAAATATATATTTTCAGGGTGCACCAGGACCACAAGGTCCGCCTGGTGCTAAGGGTGAACCGGGAGAAACGATTGGTGTCATTCCTGCACCTGAAAAGGATGAAACAACACCCGCAATGCACTTTCTGGGCCATACAGTAACTTGGAACACCGCAAAAACTTTCTGTCACGTTACAGGAAAAAAACTCTGTAGAACAAACGAATTGTGTCCCAGCAACCAAGGAGGACGCCAAATGATTCACGATGCTATTCCAGGAGATCACTGGGTCCCAGTGCTTGATGGATCAAACAAATGGATGCAGGCTGGAGATTCTAGACGTAAGTTTGTTTTATAATCAAATCATTTTGTCAGAAAGATTGTTTCAAATATATATACTTGAAGATATTTGCTATTGAAATGCATTGAATTTTAGAAAAAAAAATGAAAATATAATAACTGCATGCGGTGAAACTTAAATTCGTCGATCGCTCTGAATAGGGCCTTGTACAAGCTACCATGGCTTCAATGCCATATGAAAGGAACTACTACTATATTGTTGAAGGTTTCAAAATCGTAGAGAGAGAGAGAATTCATAATCGAAATATGAAACGTCTTACTTAATATGGTGTAATATTTTGTATTCGCCACACTTGAAAAGTTCATTAGTTCGTCATAAATGAAACTATTACAGCAGTTGCTAGCAAGACTGATCATGCAAATATATCTAGCAATAACTTTATTTCGAAAAATACGGTAAGCTGAGCGTTTCTATTATTTTTTGATACTCAGGGTTTACCTGTCACACACACACTGAAACACACCGAGGAAGTATGGCGTCATGGGGAACCTCCAACAGTCCAGCTCCTCATAAGGGTTATGTGTATTGTTGTGGAGAGAAATATACAGGTTAAGTGAAATATGCTTTTTTGTTTTTCGCCTTAATTCGATAAACCATGTAGTGTTAATTGTAATAAAAGTACTCTACAATTTCTGAGTAAAAAACATTCCCTTCCTAGGCAATCTATATGAGAGTGATAAAATCCACGGGTTAGGGTAAGTATGGGTTTAAATATCCGTAAAAAAAAATCCATAGGTGCAATAGTATGCAGGTGCAATTGCCGTGGGTTCAAATTAAGGGTTCAAATGTACGTGGGTTCAAATGTAATGGAACCATAGTAACAGTCCTTCATGTACTCCATTGTGTTTGTCCCGATTAGTTTCAGTTGAATTCAACCACTATTCATAAGACGCGACGAACCCGTGCTTAGAATACGATATATATATCACGACGTGAAATTAGAAGTTATTTACATTTTCCCTGTACGAGAATGTACTTTACTTGTTTAGTCGCTTGTCCAATCATTTTTGAGTAAGTTTTGTTTAGATTTAGTGCTCAAGTATGCTCATTTTGAAAACTGCTTTCACCGTGATAAGAAAATTGGCAATTTTGAAAAATGGTCAATAATTTTTTTCAACTTGAGCATTTGTGACCCAATCCTAATTATTTCAATCGCAATTTCATGATTTTCATTACCGCCGCATTCATTAACAAGGTCCACGTTATCAATACATTGGGAAGGCAGCTACATATGATATGTCAAAACAGCATTGTGTGAATCAAGGCAGAAGATTGTGTCATGCAGGTGAAATTTGCACCAACAACAAACCCATATATGGTATCATAGCCCGTGATGCGTGGATTGCTGCGAATGATCGTCATAATGAATGGGTTCAAATTGGCAATGGTGAGTTGATAGATGTTTTGATAAAGCAATAACATTTATATAAATCAAAGCCTCCAATCTGTAGAGGTTCATTTAATTTTTCTGAAAATGGAGATAGAATGTTTGACAAAAATCTACAATAACAAAATGATGATAATATGTTCTAACTTCATATTCCAAAGTGCAGCTCAATTTTAATTTTTAGCAAATACATGTGCTTTGCATGGTGCCCTCCATTCGTCATCCGCTTGGGGAATCAGAACTGATGGAACATTATATGATTTTCTGGGTTTCGTACTCTGTTGTCAAAACTAAAACGAACCGAAGAGACCAAGAATGAAGAAGCCAACGCCAAAATGCTGACTATAAGATCAAAGAAAACAATATTTCTAATCATTCTATGTTGTTTTTACTATTTTTTTGTTCATAAATCTTGTTTTTAAACAAGTATTTTATTATGAAAAGCAGTTGAGGGTAACAAACAATTTGCAGGTATATAAACTTTTATCCTGAGTTTTGGTGTTTGTAAATTTAACCTTACGTGTCAAATAAATAAATGAACACATCAGTGTTCTCAATCGTGTCTTATTTTTATTATTTTGCGCCCCATCTAAACGGCGCCCATGGCATGAGCCATGTCTCCCACACTCTAGATACGCCACTATTCAAAAGACGCCAGGCGAGTTTAAGGAACACTGCAAATGCCTCTGTAAAATCGCTCTCAAGAAAACGTTTTTAGATTTTTTTTCTGAGCCACAGCTAGCGGCACCTCGTGGCTACGCCTACGATACACAACTTGATTGTTTTTGGTCGATGACATACCACAACATTAGTACAGATTTTGAACTGTGCTGAATACGGCTCCGTCGCAGATTTGTTGTTAATCTTTACGCGATAAGTGAAAATTAATTGATACTTGTGGCAACAATTACGAAACCTGATCGCTAGAATTATAAAAACAATTGTATAGAATTTTTTTCCTTTTTTGTCAATACTTTGTAATAGTTCGTACAGGCCGGTGGTCACTTTCTATTTCATTAGTATTGAAGGTAGACGATATTGACTTATGTAAATATAGCTGTCGAATTCTGGTGAAAATAATTCGGTTACATTATCTTTGCACTAATGAATTACCATGGACAATTGTACCCATGCACAAGCATGGGTTTTTGCACCCACAGACCAACACGTATGTGAATTTCTCGGCCACGATTTTGGATATCGTCACGCTAATAACCGAATTGCGTAAGTTATTTTTGGCGATTTTGAGTTTTTTCATAAAATAGGTATTTATGTATTGCTGCGCACCTGTCTGTTAACTCAGATTTTATTTTAAGAATTCCGAAACCCATAAGAATAGAGATTTAGTATGACATGCACATTTGTGCAATTGTTTCGTCATAATAAATTATCCTTGTTACCGCACGACTATTGTGACGTCACAAAGGCAAAATAACCTCGGTGAAGTATTTTCGAGTTTTTGCATCTCCGATTCCAGCTTAGCGCGTATTAATTTGAATTATTAATTTTTATACTACAGTATAGGAAGACGTACATTGTGATATTCACTGTCCGAGTCCAATTCACCTTGGTTGGCTTTTATATTGCTGTTTTATTCTTTATATTCAATCTTGGTCTTATTTCGGTGGGTGTGCAGAACGTGTTATATTGGTGAAATATATATTTTTGAACATAAAAAATAATGTAATTGGAACTGATTAGCTATTTTGGGGATTAGACATTGTAGATACTGAGAATTACATTCGTTTTTGAAATGTTTAGTTCTCAGGACTGGTGCCTATAATAAAGTTGCAAAATTGCGTATGTTCCCAGATCATAGACACATTTCTGCCTAAGTCACAGTGCGCCATTATGACGTCACTTAACTGCGTCATACAAATTAACATAAATCCGGCTACGATCAAAAAATTGAACCATGGCAAATTATTGACTCTCAATGACATAACAATATCATTAGAAAGTTTTTTACGTTTTCCTCAAAACTGCTAAAAATGACTTACGCAATCCGGTTATTAGCGTGACGATATAATGGTTGTAATGTCGTTTTGCTTAAAGTAAAGTTAGGACTAAAGAAAACACATGATACACAAATACGAATTAATCCACTTACGTATTTGTTGTTGTGATGGAGGTCGTTTATTGGCCGAGCATGCTTAAATACGGACCATGTTGGAATGCATGGAAAATGTTACCCCAGTAAATGCTCTTTTCTATTATCCCAGTTTCCCTATATCTACCCTGTAAAGCGTTTCTTGTACAAATAGACTGTAGATAGGGGAGAAACAAACTAAATTTGTAATAATTTATTCCAGTATTGATCAAATCACATGTATACCATTAATAGAAGCACAATTAACCATTATGAGTTTCCGTCATTATTCATTACATTTATACTGTTTGCGCATGCAGAAGACAGCGTCGAATCATATCTAGTATTTTCAATTTCATTTCGAGTCCTTCATTGTGTCTTTCGCGCCATCGATTATCTTTCGATAATGCTCACTAGAATACAGTGCCCGGGCGTTAAAGATTTGAAAATCATATGTGCTGGTTTCTGGAAAACCGGCACAAAAAGTTTGGCGGAGGCTTTGACAATACTTGGGTACAAAGTATATGACTATGATTATCAACTGTTCGAATTTCCTGAGCTGTGGAATAAGTTATTTGACGGGACAATTACTGACGATGAAATTCGCAAAGAATTAAAGGATGTTGACGCTATCATTGATGGACCTGCAATTGCATTTTGGGAAGACATATCGAGTGCAGTTCCAGAGGCAAAGGTGAATTTGTTTTAAATCAAATTTTATGCGTGATGACCTCTATTTCGATACTTAGATACATTTACACACAATCACTTTCACTGTTTTCGACCTGACTACACGCGCATATGGTCGTCTCCGACAAGAAGTGTATTTTTAAATAAATTTAAATCGTGACATTTATAGGTAATCTTGACGACAAGAGATGAAGATAAATGGTACAATAGTTTACTCGGAATGGTGAATAAAACTCCAGCGATTTTGAGATATTCCTACCCTTTAATATTCTTGACACCAACAGGAAGAAAATTTCTTGGAACTGGTTTGCGAGTCTGTAAGTTAAAGATCTCATATTAATGTATATTTTTCAATAGTATTGCTGTATAATTAAACTAATTTCACAATATAGCATCTTTTAGCCAAATTGGGAATTACTTGCGAAATTTCTGTACTATTTTAAAATGATAAAGCTAGTCTATAGTTCGAATGAAATGTTCTGCTGGTACGATAAATTGCTATTACGTTTAGTTACTGGCGGCTTGCACGCGCACACACTCACATCTGCGCATTTTACAAAACATGATCGCTTTTGAAAATTAATTTATAAAATATATTAGTGGCTAACAATGACAGGAAAGCCAAAATGCTATTAGAGTAATTAGACTCTTATCCTCAGTGGCTTTAAAGGGAATACATTATCAGACATAGTTCATCGCACCAGAGAGTGGATAATATTCATCTTTACAGGCATGCTGGTTTTCATTTAAAACGGAAACGTTTGACATCGTCACAATATTTGTGAGGAAATCAACAATAAATTGTTTTATTGCTCACAAAGTGGAGTAGATGAAAAGGAAAACGTCATCATTCTGTATAGTGTATGTATACTATCTATAACCCTTTTCTAACAAAATGTAGGTCATTTCTTCGTTCGCCTGAAAATGATCTGTATAAACCTGTAATATGTATATCTATTTTGTGACGCTGGCATGCCTATTTGAAATCAAATGTTGGGTGAAGCAATGTTTTTCATTTGTGATGAATATATAGAATTTATGTATTGAACGTGGAAAAGTGGGCAAAGTAGTCAATACTTCCTGAGCAGATGACTGGAAGCTCTTCATTGCATGTCTTTTCAATACTGTTTTTTTTTGAGGCTTACTATTTTTTATCATTGTTAGCCGTAATGTGAGCGATTTCATTTCTATAACTCGAGTAGTATTATAAGCAGGTATATATTTTACATCTAATTATTTATTTGAAGTTTAAATATATTAATATATATTCAGGGTTCTATTGCTTTGGTGGCGGCAGTCCTATGTTTATGACGAAAAATCCAGGACTACACAAGCGTAAATTTCGTCAACACAACTGTTACGTTACTTCTTCCGTTCCAAAGGAAAAGCTTCTAGTTCTCAATGTTGGAAGCGGGTGGGAACCATTGTGCAAATTCCTCGGAAAAGATATCCCAGATATTCCATATCCACACAAAAATAAGGACGCCTCACATCATACAACTGAAGGAGGTCCTCAGCACCCTAAAATCAAGCAATTAATGCTAGAGTTCATGCTTGTATTGGGTATATTTGTAATACTCGTTTCTTACATTTTTTACTTTCTATATATTTACATTTGCACATGAAAAAGTTAATTCAAGACTACCGGAAAAGAGAGCGGACGCAGGACGAAGTTACGTAGTTGGAGTCAATGAAGTGTACTGGACTCTTCCAGCATTACGACCAGGGCTGGGAAGTTGTATGGAATCACAGCGACTCCAGCTCCGGGGCCACAATGTACTCAAACTATGGCTCTAGCTCCAGAGCTTTTTTTATTCGTTTGCGCTGGGCTCCAGTTCCGGCTCCAAAGCCATTGTAGTTTTTAACCACTAGCATGGAAAATCAGTCCGAAATGCATTTCCGCGGAAGCTGGACTCAAAAGTGTGATACAAGTGTTTTACATTTTAAAATTAATATTAGAAATCACAAGAGAGCGATGCTCAAATATATGGACACGAAAACCAAAGCGAAGAAGTTGTCGTCTACTTTATTTTTTACAGTAGGCCTATCGGTACCTCCAAAGAACTTCCGACGTTCGCGTCGCACGAGGAAAGCTGGAGAACCGTTACAAATAACTTGTATTCATTTTCAAGAGGTCATCACACATAATTTTGAAGTGAAAAACGAATCATCTAGAGCCCATAGAAAGTTTAGAAATAAATAAAAGTGATAGTCTTCTAACGAAAAATACAATCTTTAACCACAGAAAATTTCAAAGCAATTGATGCATTAGTCAATTGATCCATAGGTCTACTTCGCGTCCAATAAGGATATTTTTTTCATTGGTATGAAGTATCTGGAATTCTGGAGCCACTGAATTTTCTGTCATATCCAGCTTCATGTAATATGGCAAGCTTGGCGACAGCTTCACCAAAATATCACGGATCTATGGCTCCAGCTTCCCAGCCCTGACTACTAACTAGGGCTGGGAATTTCAGGTAAAACACGCTCATCGTTAACCGGGTGAAATTAACCAGTTGACCGCAGCGTGACGTTTGACGTGATAATTTTAGATTAAAGGTCACAATGGTTAGAAAGCAATTTTGCCTGATCTTATCACGGCATCTCTCACAAATTTAAATAGTTTCGTGTTCGCTCTTAAATAATCATAAACTTCAATCATACAAAAATTACAGCATATCTAGAATGAACGTGGAGAGTCACGTGGGACTATTGGATGGTGCTGTATTTCAATGTATTCAAACGTGTAGGACAGGGTGGTCAAAACTCAGGCTCGCGGGCCA